GACAGAAAGAAAGCCATGCCTTTTACTTTTCTTCCTCCTTAGCAATGAGCAAAGGTATAACCCACAGGTAGGCTCAAATATACCTTTGAAAACAATTCTATCTTCCAGTAAACAAGTGATCCCCTGTTTCCAAAGTTCTATACTACAGAATGTGGCAGAAATAATTTAAAAGGGATACATTTAAGTCCAAATGCCCACTTTGGCCATAAAAAACCCTCACAATAAGTAAGGCAAGAATATTAACTTCAAACACTAACTTTCTAGTGGCTCTGCCACAATTAACTAGCTATAAAATGAACTTCTATGTAAGTTAGTAAGTTGACATACCATATGGCTGTCTGGTATGAGTCAGTTAAAAACTGGAAGGTATCTGCCCATCAAGAAAGATGATATGAAGTTTAAAAGTTGATCTTAAACTTTGTCAAGTGATGATGATAGGGCCAACTGTTTAGAACCTCTCCTGATAGTGTAATTATAACACTGTCAAAAAAAATGCTTATCTTTCTATATTCTCTTATGTGTATTTACCATGTATGTTTTGGGGAGCAGAAGTGAATGAAAAAGCTTTGCTTTAGTCTCATTAGAAATTATTACAGGACCAGTTAAGAGTCCATTCCAATTCACCCTATGCTACTCAACTATGTTTTGATTGAAAATTTATCTGTTTTGAACAAAAAGGATTTTTAGAAAAATTCATTTGCAGTAGTCCTCCTCATCCCCCTCAAAAAGGGAGACTAGGTGGCAAGAATTTTCAAGATTCTCAAAGAGGAATTTATTGCCCAAGAGGCTTTCTTGTGTTTTAGAACCTCTCAATTTTCACTTGCTCCTTAGTAATCACAATATCCTAAAATATGTAAACATTAAAAAAGCATTATTGTATTAAAAATTGTTGTTAACTGGGGCACCAGGGCGGCTCAGTCGGTTAAGCATCCGACTCTTGATCTCAGCTCAGGTCTTGATCTCAGAGCTTGCACCCCACTTTGGGCTCCATGCTGGGTGTGGAGCCTGCTTAAAAAATGGGGAGAAAAAAAGAAAAAAAAGGAGAAATTATTGTTAAACAGATGTGATAATGGTATGTTTGTGTGAAAAAAGTACTCATTTATTAGAGATACAGACTTAGTTGTTTACAAGTGAAATGACTTTTGTGATTTCCTTTGAAATACTGTATACACACAAAGTGGAGTGGAGATAGGAGACATAAGATGGGCCTTGAGTTGTTAACAAAGCTGAATGATGGTTGTTACATTACACCACTCACTATGTTTATGTTATATGGGAAAACGTTCCATAGTAAACAGTAAAACGAACAAAATGCATTATCTTATAAAATAGACATAATTTGTTTGATTCCTTTGAGAGTGAAGATGCGGAGTTAAAGACGTGATATAACTAAGTAAAATGTTTTTGCAAGTTTATGAGGCATAAGGGTAGATAAGGATCACAAAAAGTATCACAACTGATGAAAAGCCGGTTAAAAGTGAACATTCACATAACTGAAATCTCTGGGAAATGCTAACATATATATTTCGCAGTGACAACACCCAAGTGCAGCTGTAAACCTAAAACTCCAAATCAAACCCAATTCAACTTCTATCTCGCCACTACCTCTTCCAGTCCAAGGGAGGTGCGGGTGTCTGGGGGACGGAATTTGATCAACACACTCTGCAGTTAAAGGCAACAGCCAGGAGAAAACGGAACAGTAGCTGAGCAAACGCTCCAGAGGCGAACGCCTGGGATCCTGGCTTTGTCACCTGGAGGCTGGGTCCCTTCCAAGCCTCGATTTCTCAAGTGGGGAGGACAATAGTACCTACCTTAGAGGGTTGTTGGGAGCTTTAATTATGAAGCATGCATGTAAGGAACATGCAGCTCGTAACTGGTAGGACCTGTTGGTGTATTAAGGACGGCGCGTTTGGGAAGCGGCTCGGGCGAGCTACGCGCGCCGGCGGCCAGGAAAGAAGACTCCGCTCGGTCTCCACCCGCCCGTCTCCGAGCCTGGGCGCAGGCCCAAAGGATGCTCGGGCTTCTTTCAGGCGCCCGTCTCCAGCTCCAGGTCGCTCTCCGATCGGGCTGGGGTCCAGCCACCAGGCGCCGGAACCAGTCAGGGCGGCGGCTCTTCAGGTCCGGTCCCCGAGCAGGAACCCGCCGAGCGCAGGGAAACAGAAGAGTCCGCAGCGACCTCCACCCTGGCCGCGCCGGGGTTCCATCCGGGTTCTCCGTGTGGCTTCCCGCCCGCAGACGGGGCGAGGTGTCTCCCCGCACGCAGGCGCATTAGCCACCGGCTGAGGACTCAGCAGGCTTGAGTAAAGAGCATGCGTGTTGTTTCTCTCCATTTTTTTTTTTTTTTTTAATTGTGTACGTAGCAAGGAGGGTTTTTTTTGTGTCTGCCAGAAAGAATGAATCGTAGAATCGAAGGAATGGAAGGTATGGCAAAGTCTACGTAGCTCTTCAGAACACTGAAATAAATTTTTAACACTCCAGTAATTAGCATTTTCTATGTGTGATTAAGGAGTTAAGAGAAGCAAGCTCATTGAACTCCCAAATTAAACACTGAAGCAAATGCGACAGGCTGTAAACTCCATGAAGATACTCAGAGTGAAGAGCGTCTAGAGCTTGTGTCTTCTTGTCCATGCAAGTCACCTCTTTCCATAAATTAGAGCGTGAGGATGAATTTCCTCAGAATCATCATCACTTTAGAGAAAAGTGCTTCAATTTTAAAATTCATTTTAACATGATCTTAAAATTATAAATCCGTATTAGAGAGGTTTTACTTTTAAAAGATTTTATTTTTTTGACAGATCACAAGTAAGCAGAGACGGCAGGGGGGGAGAAGCAGGCTCCCTGCTGAGCAGAGAGCCCCATGCAGGACTCGATCCCAAGACCCTGGGACGATGACCTGAGCCGAAGGCAACAGCTTAACCCACTGAGCCACCCAGGCACCGTTAGAGAGATTTTATAGGAAAAATCCCAAAGCAGAAACTAGAAAACGTTGCTGAAAGAAATTCAAGCATAAACCTCCAGCTCGTTGGGGGTGGCGGTGGAGGGGGTACTTCCTTCCAGAATTGTTACAAACTTAATGAAAGAACGATTTACTCATTTTTGTATTGTCAGTATTGGTAGAAACATGCCACAAGGTTGGGGAAAGGGGCACTATCAAAGAATGTAGGACAGATGCATCATTATCAGGTGTTGAGGGTGAACCTGGCCAACTGAGGCCTGCAAAAGACCAGTCTTCCTGGTCCAGAAAGCAGGGTCTTAAATACTAGAGACAGGAGTAGGATTTAAGAGTCAGAGATACTTGGCTTTATGTCCTGGCTCTAATACTTTTAACTGTCAGGACTTGAGCAAGCTACCTGGAATTGTTAAGCCCATGTGCTTTTTGTAAGATAGATAGGGGCATTATCCATTACACCATGAAGTTCTTTTTGCAGAGGTAACATACAAAAAATTACAGTACAGTTTCAGCACTCAAAAGGCAGCTATTATTAATAAACACAAAGTTCACATAATGAATAATGTTCCAGGTGTTATCTTTGTTTTCCAAAATGGAGAAATAAGACACGAGTTCAGATATTATAGAAGTCTTCCTAAAATCAGTAAATTAGATTTCACTGAAGAGGGAACAGAGAGCCAGAAAAGTCGACACATTTTTTGAGTTAAAGGATCCTGAAATTTTCTAATTCAAAATCCCTAGCCATAAACTACTTTTCTGCCAAATATTTGAAATAATACTATAAACCACTCAGTTAAGTATTCTCAATTATATATCTTTATTAGCAAAAGATAAATAAAATACAAAATAGACATTGTCAGACTTTATGTTGAACCACTCCGTATTATGGTAGGAGTATGAAAATGTAAGTCATTGACTTTCTTGAAATAGGTAAGAATGAGCTCTCTTTGCATTGCTGTTTGAACTTCGTACTAGTACTAGTCTGAATCTAGCTACGGTATCCATAGTACTTGACAATTTGATTGTTACTCTCACCAGCACAATTTCTTAGATGGTAACTTAATGTGGTGTCCTAGTGGGTTTTGGTAGCTTAGAAGCCAGTGAGCTGTTAAAAGCCAATTACTTATGTCAGGGTTTGAAACAGGCTGTTTTCATGATCCCACTCTCACTGTATTATCTTCACAATGTTCTTAGAAGAGGCCTGAGGATCATGGTAGTCTCAGTTATTAATAGCCCTATAAGCTATCCTTGTAATTCTCTGAAGAAACCTTCAATTTCAGGTTTTGCTTTCTGCAATTTTTATACAATTACAAGCAATTTTTGCTTTCTGTAAAGATTAGGTACAATGGATACTCTACAATCTTCTAAAACTTAATATTCATGATCATTACATAAAGGCAATCACAATTAAAACAACAAATAGTACCACAAACCATACTCTATGATAGAGGAAAGGGTTTCTGTGTCTAAAGGCTCATGTCCAGAATGGTAAAAGACCTAGTACTGGTCAGTGACTCGAAGATAACAAAAGAGTTATTTTTCCATTCAAAGACTAATCCATTTAGTTCTGGGTATAAAGTATAAGGAAATATTTTAAAAATCAAAATTTTATAACCAAATAGAAAACAGAATTATTACTATACAGACTGAAATGGGGGATAAAGTCATACATATATTCCAAAGGTTTCCTTTCAGGAACCCAATTTATTTTTAGCTTTAGACCAAGAAAACCTTAGAAGGCAAAAACAAACGATACTCAAATAACTACAACCATAGTTACTAGTAATTTGAAAAAACAAAACTGTGATTTTGAGAAAGAGTAACTCATCTGCCTTTAAAATGTGTACTAGCACTAGATAAAGGGCCATAAGAATTGAGGAAATAAAGTTAGAGACTTAATAAATGTTGAATAGAAGATGTTCTTGTTAGGTAGAGAGCCAAGGCCTCTTTGCACATCACCTAATATAAAACTGGAAGTAAAATCAAAATATACACTTAATGTACTTCCTCTTTGTTTTTGTTTCTTCAGTGTGTAAAGAAATGAATTTGCTATGAGACTTCTGGAGTCTTTATTAAAGTCAGGCAGCAAGAGTAGTAGTCATGGGTTTTTCCATCTATAATCATCAGCAAGAAGCTGAAAAGAATGTATCAGCTGTGTCTATCTTGGGTGACTGTCTATAACTAGTTACTGCTGTCCAAGGAAGGAAGCCATGGGGTCATCTGGCCTCTGACGTTTCATTCTATAGGCTTCCATTTCCTCTTCAGTGGGTTCCCGAGTTTCATATATGCTGTTGTAAGGCCGCTTCCTCTCATCAATTTGCATGATCTCCTTGACATGAAGAAGGCGGGCCTCCTCTGCATTCAATGCCTATAGTGAGAGGAAAAACATGAGAACCACAGCTCTACATCAGATCTCTTCTGTTCTAAAGTAGCAGAATACCAAAAGACCCCACTGAATATAAATTGTCATATCAAAAACATAGATTGTTCAAAAGAGCTTAAAGTGTCAGCCCTCCTACTGTCAAGCTGTAACTAATCACTACTTGGCTGATACAGTATTTTCATATAGCACAAAACATTCTACCACATTTTCAATGTTAAAAAAATTTACTTAATAACAAAGATTCAATGATATTGATTTCACTAACAGAAGTCCACAACTGATGCTTCTGGTGGAAACTACCATTCTGACTTTTCCCAAGGACTTGTTGAAACTTACAAATTATAGACCTAAAAGGCAATTCTTTCTGGGCAGTCAATAACTCTAAAATAACAGCTTTAAAAGCACATTTCTTCAGTATGTTAGTAATTTTTATCAAACATTCCAAGAAACAGGGAATACTGAGATACACAAAAATCTCCTTTTGCACCCTAGACCTGATACAAGGTAACCTAAACAAATCACCCAGACTTGGGGCTTATTTCCTCATTTCTTAAGGTTGCTACAAATAAAGAATACTGTCATCACTTTGACTATTTAGAGTTCACAGAGACCTTTTTCAATTTTTCATGTTTCTTTTCTTCATCATCACTATCTGAACTGCTCTTTCGATGCTTCTTTTTCTTCTTCTTTTTCTTCTTTTTATCTTCTTTTAGTTTTTCCTGATGCATCTGACAGGGAGGGTTGAAATATATAGTGTTATTAATGCAAAAACAAAGATCCGGCACAAATTTTAAAGTCAGCCTTCCAAGACTTAATTCAGGACAAATGATTAGACTTACCTCCATGAGGGTTTGAGGTTTTTTCACAGATTCTTCTCCAGTTATATCATTTATAATACATTCCTCTGAATTCTGTGGGAAAATATATTTGACTTATCATAGTTACTAATCACTGAAGAAAAAGTTAACATTTGAAATATGAGAAAACATACTTAATACAGATTCTGACTTAAGAGCTTTGGTTGTGTTACAGTTTAAGAACTAGAGGACAATTACTTACAGCAATCTCCTTGCCAGCTTCTCCAGTGCAATAGGAATACTTGAAAAAAGAGTGACAGCATTTGTATCCCCATCGGCCTTCTTTCCAGTACGATCCCCAGATATGCTGCAGAGAGAGAGAGTTGTTACTTAAAAAGGAAACTGAAACTAGGGATTCTCATATACTGTTGATATGAGTACCAAATAATACAGCCCTTTAAAAGGTAATTTGGGAGGAAAACTATGGGGATTCCACGGCAAGCTAATAGGGAAAGGGTGGCCTGACCTCAGGTGTAAGAAGCAGCCATTAAATTATAATGGTCTCGCTTTCCATTCCCAAAACTATAAAAAAAATTTAGGATTATCTGATTTCTCTTCAAAAATTAAGAACTGGGAAATTCTGGGCCCACATTCCCACTTGGCAAGAACTGGCTGTTGGTTACCAGTGGATGTCCCTTTTATTTTTTTATTTATTATTTATTTTTTTAAAAAGATTTTTACTTATTTGACAGAGAGAGAGACAGTGAGAGGGAACATAAGCAGAGGGAATGGGAGAGGAAGAAGTAGGCCAGCAGGGAGCCTGATGTGGGACTTGATCCCAGAACCCTGGGATCATGACCTGAGCTGAAGGCAGACGTTTAATGACTGAGCCACTCAGGTGCCCTGGATGCCCCTTTTAGACAGGATTTGTGTTCTGTGTGTGTGCCTGGCTCATTTTGCTCATATACATTTAGTGGCCTGGCTTCTATAGCTAGTTCAGTTTTTGACCTGACTTTGACAATTATAGTTTGAGTACTTCAAGAGTATAGCAAATAACATATGTTTTATGATGTGAGACAGTAGAATTCATCATAAAATGTATGAATTATGAATTTTCTGTGTCACAAATGTTGTCATAATTTTGAACTTATAACTAATCAAGCCTTTAGCTCTGAATTCCTGTTTATAGGAAATGCAGAAGATAGAGGAATAAATCCTATATCACTAGGAATCAGTCAAATACAGAATATGACACAGTTTAAAAAATAACTGGCCTCATCTGTTTAAGAGTTGCCGTCATGAAAAAAGGGAGCTATGACAGAGGAAGATAAAGAAAAAGAGATACAACAACCAAAATGAACTCTGATTGGATTCTGACACAAGACAAAAACAAGCCACCTCTTTAAAGACATTTTTGTGTATATTTTAGTAATGTGATTAAGAACCAGAGATTAGATGATATGAAGGAGTTGTGTCAATTTTTAAAGTGTGATAGTTATGGAGGGGAATATCCCTGATTTTAGAAGACACATGATACAGTTTCTATGGATGAAATATCATAGTATCTGTGATTTTCAAATGTTTTAGTTAAAAAAATATAAATTTTATATATATATTATATTCACATGCATATACACACACGCGTGCATGTACACACCCCAAAGCATATATACCAACATGCAAAAATTTTCTGAATCTAAGTAGTAGCTATGTGGACGAACATAATAGTATTCTTCCACATTTTTTGTATTTTTGGAAAAATTTCATAAAACAAAATTAAAATGTAAAAAAAAAAAGAAAAGCACAACAATGATTTGCTACTGTTGTAGTAAGAAAATATGACCCAGAGCAAAATGCTAACAAGGACACCAAATAGTTCTGGTTTAGCACATACTGTGTGATTGTGGATCTTCACATCCTCCTCATACTTAGAGCAGGCGACAGCCCGCTCCTGTCCTTTGATGACTGTTCCATGTCTTGAATACTCCACATAGTCTTCAGTCTGAGCTAAAAGCAATTCAGCTGGAGGGGCATCCAAGTGTTCCTGGCCACCATACTAAAAGAACAGCGAACATTATTAAATACATTTTACAGCAAAGATTCACATTCAAATCTCTATTGATGGGGTTTATTTCTAATCAGAAACATTAAAGGAATAATCATTATAGCCTTTGTTATGCAAAATACAGTAAAAAAAAAGCCACAAAAATCTTAGAGGGAAATAAAAGATGTCTCCAGCTGCTATTCATCTTTTGAGTGTGTAGATTACAAAATGGCCATTAATTCCTTTTATTCTCGTATGCATGCCCATTTGCCACATGACTTTGCTACTCTTCCCCTCAAGAAACAGCTTCTCCAACCTCTGAATCTGGGCCTGGCCATGTTACTTGTTTAGGCCTGTGGGAAACTGGAAAATGCGATGCAAGCAAAGCCCTGAAGAGCACTCGTGCACTGGGGCATCATGCTTTTTGTTACTAGTCTCTGGTACCGAGAATGCCTGCTGAAGCTGGACTGGCCTACTATAGGGTAAGAGCTCACATGGGGCAGAGATGAGCTGTTCCAGAGGTGGGCTTTTAGGATAATTAGCCTGCTAACTGCTAGAGACCGGAATGAGACCATTCTAGATCATCCAGCTTCAGATGAGCAGGCCCAGACCAGGAGACCCAGCTGACATACAAAATTGTGAGGAATAACAAATGTTTATTTTAAACTACTAAGTTTTTCCATGGTTTGTTTTGCTGCAAAAGCTTCCTGATATGGATATACTGATAATGTATACAGTTGATCAAGTTAATAGGAGGGTAGAATGAGTCCTAACGAACTAAAAGAGCCTCTCTGTGTGTTGTATTCCACATGTAAATCAAATGGTGAACTGGTCATTTCTCGTTAATGAACATTCTTTTCTTTGCATTCTGATCAAAATTACCTTTTCCAAGATGCTTTCTTTCTGCTGTTCTTTGAAGTCTTCTTTTTTGACTTTGAAGGACTTGTATAGCAGCTCTAGTTTTGTAGGATCAGCCTGTAGATGCACTTCAGATCCCTTGTCATAGGCTTCCCAAGCAAACACTACAATAATCAAAAGCATCTTAATGAGTTCTCAGCTATATTTATTGCATACTTATTGAAAACAAGCTTCTAAAAATGCCACCAAATTTCTTTAGAGCGGATATAAAATACCTTGACATAGAGTAAACACTTACACTGTGTCTGAGCCATTGAAATGGTGTCTCCTGTGTATCTTACAAAGTTATCCCCTGCATAGCTCACTCTGTAAATACAAGTTAAAAAACGAATTGCTTCAGAAATTGCTTTCTTTAAGGAAAGTTCATTCTTTTCTGACCCAGCCACAGATGTTGTTCATTTTAACTCAGATTCAGTTTTATGATTAAAAACGCTCCTCCCCCACCGTGAAATCTATACATTTAACTTGATACTTACTCATCTGGATTCTTCCCTGCGTTGGCATAGGGATTCTCTCTCATCGCTCTAGTTTTGGGATCATAGTAAGCAGAATTTGGATCTAAATTCCGCAAATACTAGAAGGAAAAATGTTTTAAGACTGCATTAATGTTTACGTCTGTCAAAAAAAGATTTCAGCAGACTAGGCGGAGGAATTAATCATGATCAATTACATGTGTGTATGCATTGGTGGGGTACAGATGAAGAGGAAAAAACAGAATGATACTTAATCTTGGAATGACAAACTATATCAACCCATACAGTGCTCAGATACCAGATGAGTAGACAAAATCTGGGGTGGGAAGACAAACATTTTTTTGGATGTATATGTTGAGTTGGCAAGGCTTACTTTTGCAATATCTTCTCGAATCCTGAGATTCCGGACAGTAATTCGCCTCTTAGAGTCAAAGTTCTGTCCAGGCATGTCAATATCGTCTGCATATTTATCTTCATCCTCATCTTCACTATTATGATCTTTTTCCTGAAGGGAGGGGAAAGAAGGAAAAACAAATTATAAGAAAAAAACAGCCACATCTAGTTCCTGTTTTCCCTCTAACCAAACTCTTATTTACTTATATTTCTTAAAGCTATTATTATTATTGTTATTGTTATTAGCTGTCAGAAACTGAAAAATTTAATGTATACCCAGACAGGGCACATATTTATTACCGTCTGAGAATTTGGTTCCTCTTCTCCCCACTGGTGTTTTGGAGAATTCTGCATCATTCAAGAAGAAAAAAAATTTGTAATTTTATTCCCCTGAATCTACTGATTATTTAACACTTTAAATATATAGGTAAAATATCATAAGTTAAATCTAGCTGAACAAATCCTATTTCTCATTGTAATCAGCATGTAAATTCTGAATACCAGTATGTCACTGTGAATGCTTTTATCAGACTGTCTACAAAGCCAGAAAATTTCTAGAGAATTTTCAGTGATACAGGATTATAATTGCACAAAGGTAGGAAGGACATTAAAATGACCAATGTATCCAATATATATTCATTTCTTATATGTTAACCTTCAGGCATATACCATTTTTGCCAAGCCTCACTGGAGTTCTTCTATCAAGTCTAAAAAGAAAATGTTACTAGAATCATGTAATAAGTATCTTTAGAGCCAAAACAACTTTTGCAAAATCACGCAATGAGGTATCTACTCAAATGATACAATACTGTAATTTTTTTTTGAAGATTTTATTTATTTATTTGACAGAGAGAGAGAGAGAGATCACAAGTAGCCAGAGAGGCAGGCAGAGAGAGGGGGAAGCAGGCTCCCGGCCGAGCAGAGAGCCGGATGCAGGGCTGGATCCCAGGACCCTGGGATCATGACCTGAGCAGAAGGCAGAGGCTTAACCCAATGAGCCACCCAGGCACGCCACCGTACTGTAATTTAAGGAGAGTCTGATATCCTAGTCACAAAGACATCCTTCCTTCATTAGCATTGGTCAGGATTTTCTCTAACTCCACAAAAGGCCTATAGCAAAGTAGTCAGCATCTTATCATGTCCTTTTAAAAGTCTTCAAAGTTAAAAAGACTACTTTAGAGCATTAGTGGGGGGATGTGGAAATATGAGTGTGTATGAATATATCTATCCTCTCTATATAAACACAATGATTATGTATATGTGGACATTATATATATATGTGTGCACATAAATTTGTATAGCTTTCCTGAATGGTACTTAAGTGATATGACATTAAAATTTTATTTTCATTTTTTATTTTTTTAAATATTTTATTTATTTATTTGACAGACAGAGATCACAAGTAGGCAGAGAGGCAGAGAGAGGAGGAAGCAGGCTCCCCGCTAAGCAGAGAGCCCGATGTGGGGCTCGATCCCAGGACCCTGGGATCATGACCTGAGCGGAAGGCAGAGGCTTTAACCCACTGAGCCACCCAGGCGCTGCATGACATTAAAATTTTAAATAAAAATATTCACTGCATCAATTACACATTAAGGAATTTGTCCTAAGGGAATATGTCAATTATATAAATCAATTATATAAGTGGTATGTAAAACAATGTTATTTACAGTGTTGTATATAGTATCAAAAATCTGGGAAAGGTCAAATTAATAATAGACAATTGTTACATAAATTACTGCACTCAGTGAATACTGAACATCCATTAGAAGTGATTTTATCCAATTTGCAGGAAAAAAACAGAATTTGCTCCTCTTTTTTTTTTTTTGCAGTTATTGTTAAAAAAAAAGGGGAGAGAAAGGTGGGAATAATATTATTTGTTTTTGTTTGTGAAACTCTGAAAGGATCCACAAGAAAAATAAAACAGATTATGGCGGGGTGAGGTTTAGAGATAAGGTAGATGGAGGCCAGGATGGGAGACTTTTTGCTGCATATCTTCTTAATAGATAACTGCACATCTTGAGTTTTGAACCATGTGAATTAATATAAAAATAGATAGGTCTATAATGACAGAGAAAACATAAGTTCACTGCACTATATATTATTTGAAAGAGTAGGTGATAAATAGGTATGTAAAGATGAAATCCATGTTAAAAACGTGTTATAATTACACACATATAGATACATGTGGGGAGGCGGAGTGGGCCCTGGAAAGGCCTACTTTAAAAGGTTAATAATTAACATAAAAGATACTTATTTTCTTCTTTATAATTTTCTATTTTTTCACTGAGTATGTACTATTTTCAGCATCAGAAATATATATATATATATATTTCTACTAACATAATATATATATATATTTTATTTTTTATGTATGGTCCAATGTGGGGCTTGAACTCACAACCCCGAGATCAAAAGTTGCACATTCTATTGACTAAGCCAGCCAGGCACCCCAGAAATGTTTTTTGTTCCCACAAGTTGCTAGTTCAACAAAAAACATTTATACTGCCATACAAAAAGTTCAATCTCTATGGTAGACTATTCTACTGCACGTAATTAATATTAATATCCAAGTACTGAAGTGGGCACAAATCATCAGTCTCCTATACACATTTAAGTATGCTTACCGGCGAAATAAATTAGACCAGGTTACAACAAACAATAGAGAATATAGTAGAACAAGAGAAACAGCAAGTTTTCTTTTCCAGAGCTGGTAATAGTAACAGCTTCTAATTATCAAGTGTTTACTTACATTGTGATATGATGCTAGGCCTCCTAGGCAGTAGGTGGTGGTGTCTCTACTTGAGATGATAAACTGAGGCTCAGAGAAATAAATTACTTTTTCTGTGACCACCTAACTGGCCAGGGACAGAGCTGCATTTTGATATCACTCTGTTAACCTGTGCTGTGAACTTTCCTGCCAGGTGGCCTCAGTGACTGCTCAGGTGGTGATTACTTACTTAGGTCTGTTTGTAACCCATATTTGCTGAGTCCCTTTTAGGAATTTAAACTCCAAATGTTTTACTTATTATTTATGTGTGCCATCAATTTGTTAAAAAGAAAACCTTTACCAAGCACAGTATGCATTAACTATAAAGCTGTCATGAATAAAAAATTGGCAATACAGCTTTACTATAGATTTTTTTATTCCGCTATAAAATTACTATAGTTATTATGGAAAATGTAGAAGATACTAGTAAAAATACCAAGAAAAATTTACTAATTCTACAGTGAATGAGAATCAGTATTCTGGTTTTTTTTCCTATGTGATATTACAATATTTTTTTCATATGTTATTTAAATATAAGTGTTATCCATTGTTGTTACAAGTGTTGATAAAAGTCATTTAAGAACTATGCAACATTCTATTATACAGATGCAGGACAGTTTACTTCACCAACTCCTTACTCCTGTTTAGGCTATTTCAATTTCTTGCCATTTTAAAAAGTGTTACAATGAATATCTTTGCATATGTGATCTTTTTTTTCTGATTACTAGGAAATTCTTTAGGATAAAAGGACCTACTGACTTAATTCCAGAAAATGTATATAAATATCTTATGGCAATATTCTTTCCAAAATGACTGCATCAAGGTATGTTCCCATGAATGTTATAGAAGTGCCAGTTTTAGTCTTTCCCCTCAATAGCACTTCTCTCTTCCTAAGTCTTTCCTAACTAGACAGATATAAAATGAATTCTTGTTTTGATTTTCATTTTTTGTTTACTAAGAGTTTAATGTCTTTATGGACCATTTTTATTACTTACAGCCTGTTCCACTAATTTTCCTGAGGCTAATTCCTCTTGGAGTTTCTGGGCTTTCAGGGTTCGTTTTGCCTAACAAAAAAAGAAACATTTGAAATTTACTTTACAACATTCAAATGAACATTTAATTTTTATATACTTAAAATTAATAAATTTATTGTTTCCAGAAAGGTCAATAAACAAGGTCATCTCTTTGAGATTTCTTTTAACTCTAGATGTATGATTTCTAAATAACAGGATTTACAAACTCCTGTTCGAGTCAGGCATTAATGTAAACTGGCCGAAAAAGCACTAGTGATTAAACTGTAAAGAACAAGCCCTATCCAAAAGGGGCAGCTGTCACCTGGCCCCAGATGACTGATGTTTGCCTGACAGGCCCAGGATTACCACATATTCCATTGTTCAAGAATAGATGAAATTTACATTATATAAATCCAGTGATTTTTAAATGTAAAATCTACATAAGAAAAAAAAAAGCAGCATTACTGTGGATTTGAAGGAATGGGGGAAAGCTGATAAAATCGTAACAAAAAAACCTGAAGCTGAATTAAAATAAAATTCAATTTTCTGATATGTGTTATCCTGTTCTCCTTTCACTTCTCTCAAACGCTATGTGAGACATCTGTAAATAGGCCCAGACAAGATGCAGTGTGTGGGGCCGGGAAAGAGTTCATAACCTTAAAAATCCAAAAGCCCTAGATACTAATCCGTTCTCATGCTTCCAATATCTTCTGCAGCCTCAGTTAGGGAGTTAAATAAAAAATACAAGAATCAAGTAAGAAGAAACTGCTGCCACTACGGTTAGCACACTTTATTTTCACTCTTCTCTTCTATCAGACCTACTACTACTATAATAAAAACGCCACCATTTTTATATTGCTCGAACACTCAAAAACAGAGTCGCTTAATCAATGATACAGCAAAATGTACATTCTTTAAGGAGTGTGGGAAAGCAGGGAACTTTGCTCACCAGATCCACTTTGGCGTATTCTTCCACAATTTTCATGTGTTCCTCTGGATTGTAGCCATTCCACCGGTCCCTCTTCCCATCATAGTCGAACATCAGCTGAGGCTGGACATGTTCATCTGGAGCTATATTAGTACCTGTAAATTTTGCTCCAACTCGCCTAGGTCTCTGGGAAATAGAATAAAATCAAACCTTTCCCCAAGTTCCTGTAGCCTAGAGGAAAATTTCAGGAAACCTTTATAAAGCAAGCATAAACATACCATGCAAGTTTGTGGTCTGTTCAATTATCAGTTACTCTCCCAGCAGAAAATTATGATGGTGCTAAACTAATCTCACTCAAATAAATTTTTATTTAACTTGTACAAAAATTTAGGTAACTTTAGAAAAATAGAATTAAGCTCTTTGATAGGAAAAAAGAGACTCTCTGACAAGTTTCTAGAATTCTCAAAGATGAACTTACCTCAAAGCAGTCTTTCTTTTTGTGTGTCATGGCCCCGCAATTTTCACATGCCCCCTTGCGGTACTTAGTAGTTATGGAATTCTGTAAATGGATATAAAGAAAAACAAAATGTTTTATTTCTGAATAAGTTAGAAATAATTTTGGTTCTCATTACTATATTGTCTAGTGAAGTGACTTACTCATTAAGAATAAAACTACTTAAAGTCTCCATACTTTTATAAATGAGAAAGTTTAAGTATTTTAGCAACATAAAATGTAGAAAAGAAAACACAGAAACAAAAGTAGTATGTATTGTAAATTTTAATCCCAGGTAAAAGGTTCTATATTCTGATATAACTTGATTAAAGGTTCTTAAATTAAGTTCTTAAAATAAAATCTCCATTTTCATAAGGATATATATAAAAGTTGCTCACATACCTCTTTTACACCTCTCTTGTACCATTCTCCAGATGAGCTGTATTGCTTCTGTTTCTCTGGTTGTGGTCTCTGGTGCTTTAAAGTAGGTCTTTTTGACGGATCGATATACCATGGCACTGAAGAAATATACTGAGGTATATGAGGGTTGATGTCTCTGTAATTAAAAAAAATATATTTTTTAAGAATAAAGTTTGTGGAGGCGCCTAGGTGGTTCAGTGGGTTAAGCCTCTGCCATTGGCTCAGGTCATGATCTCAGGGTCTTGGGATCAAGCCCTGCATCGGGCTCTCTGCTCAGCAGGGAGCCTGCTTCCCCTTCTCTCTCTGCCTGCCTCTCTGCCTACTTGTGATCTTTTTCTCTGTCAAATAAATAAAAAAACCCGAAAAAAATTAGAATTAATTTTAATGACTTACTCATTAAGAGTAAAACTACTTAAAGTCTCCATACTTTTATAAATGAGAAAGTTTAAGTATTTTAGCAACAAAAAATATAGAAAAGAAAACACAGAAACAAAAGTAGTATGTATTGTAAATTTTAATCCCAGGTAAAAGGTTCTATATTCTGATATAACTTGATTAAAGGTTCTTTAATTCTTGATTAAAGGTTCTGAGCCTTCGGATCAGGTCATGATCCCAGGGTCTGAGATCAAGGCCTGCATTGGGCTCCCTGCTGGGTGGGAAGCCTGCTTCTCCCTCTCCCACTCCCCCTCCTTGTGTTCCCTCTCTCGCTGTGTCTCTCTCTCCATCAATTAAATAAAAATCTTTAAAGAAAAAAAAATAAAGTTTAAAAATAATTGGTATTACAATTACAAAGGTAACCTATATAGATTGTAAAAACAGAGATAGTGTAGTGGGGGGGGGGGATATGCTTGGTATCTCTATACTATAGTAGAAAACAAAACAAAACAAAACAAAAAAACCTGAAGATAAGGAATGTAATTTGTTTTAAAGATTTTATTTATTTATTTGACAGAGAAGTCACAAGTAGGCAGAGCAGTAGGCAGAGAGAGGGGAAAGTAGGCTCTCTGCTAAGCAGAGAGCCCGATGGAGGGCTCGATCCCAGGACCTTGAGATCATGACCTGAGCCGAAGGTGAGGCCTAACCCACTGAGCCACCCAGGCGCCTCAAGGAATGTAATTTATTTTAGAGTGAAAACATTTCCAATATAGCAACTAAGAGTAGTGATAGAACTGAAGTCAGGAAAGAGATAAGGAAAATAGGGATATATGTTAGTAGATAAACCTTACACAAGATCAAGAAGCTAGTTAATAATGCCTAGAGTTGATTAAAATAATCATGTAGATACATTATTTAGAGATGTGGAGCTATCAACCAGAAAAACTCAAAATAGATTTAAAAGTAGTCACTTTTGCAGAGTGGGACAGGGAGTGGGAAGACTTGAAAGGGATGACTGCTGTTCATTAGAAGTTCTTTAATGCATTTCTATTATTAAATCTTACATATACAAATCTGATAAAATAATAAAAACTGTCAAAGCAAAACATGAGAAATTACTAAGTAAACATAAATTTCAATTTTTAATGAACAGATCATGCAAACAATGTACTTACTTTCCTTCTTCATCAACTTCTGCTGGAGCATTACCCAGTTTTCGCTGTTCTTCTAGCTCCTTCTTCTTTCTCCAGTCCTCTCTGGTCATCTTCTTTGGTTCCTCTAGACTCATTTCTTTGGATCCCGACAGGGGGGCCGCATTAACTGCATCTACAGCTGCAGCTGACATGGTTATCTGGACCCCTCTATGAAAAGAAATATATATATATATTAGTATAAACTAGGCCCTCATGAGTTCATTAGTGAAATTATCAAAAGTACACCCTAATAACACATACTGCAGTCTCATTTATACATAGTATTTCATATGTTCTTAAAGTATCTGCGAGGGAAGGGTCTCTTTCCTTTCTACAAAAAGTCTCTATGTACTGTCTGCAGTTCCTTCCTCAACTCTAATTTACAAATGGAGAGAAGCATACACGTGTACTTTTCTTTTTTATTAAAAAAAAAATTTATTTGGCAGAGAGAGAGAGAGATCACAAGTGGGCAGAGAGGCAGGCAGAGAGAGAGGGGGAATCAGATTCCCTGCTGAGCAGAGAGCCCGATGCAGGGCTCGATCCCTGGATCCTGAGATCATGACCCGAGCCGAAGGCAGAGGCTTTAACCCACTGAGCCACCCAGGCATCCTGCATACACGTGTACTTAAAATTTCACAAGACTCTTTCTCTCATTAACACTCCTGAATCTCTCTATGTATGTCTCAGGCTTTTCTAGCATGTTAATCATACATGAGTAAACAGTGTCCTATTTTCCTTAAAGATGAAATGCCTGAAGAATTATCTATATCCATTCTCTATTTTCCCATCTTCTACTTCCTTCCACAGTCACTCTAATTTAGCTTCCACCCCCTATCTCTCTGAAGAGTTAGCACTAAGTCATCAAGGATCAATGTGCTAAATCCACTAGATATTTTTCAGTTCTCTTCCTTCCCCTTTTTAAAATATTTTATTTTAAAGATTTTATTTATTTTGGAGGGAGAGCATGAGCAGGGGAAAGGGCAGAGGGAGAAGCAGACTCTAGGGAGCCTGACATGGGGCTTTATCCCAGGAGCCAGGGATCATGACCTGAGCCAAAAGCAGACACTTAACCGACTGAGCCACGCAGGTGACCCAAGATTTACTTATTTTAGAGGGAAAGAGAGCATGCATGTGGGTATGGGGGGGGTGGGCAGAGGGAGAGATAGAGACGCAGAGTCCCTGCTGAGTGGGAAGCTGGACAGACTGTGACTCAATCCCACCACCCTGAGATGACGACATCAGCTGAAATCAAGAGTTGGGCGCTCAACCAATGGAGCCACCCAGGTACCCCTGTTCCTTCCCTTCTTGAAACATTCGTATCTCTTGGCTTAAGTAACACTATTATCTCTTGGTTTTTCTTGAATCTCTCCTGCTGCTCCTGTCTTCTTGACAAGTTCCTCTATTTCTGCCTATTTAATTTTGGATTCCACAAGGCTAGTCTCTTTCATCACTCTGGACTCCATCAGTAGAAAGCTCATCCATTTCTAAGGCTTTAATAGGCACTATATACCACTGTTGGCTCTCCAACCTATTTCTCCTCTCTAGATCTTTTATCTGTGCTTCAGATACATATATTCCAACTGCTTACTTCACAGCATCTCCATTTAGAGCGTCTTAGAGACACCTGAACTCAACAAATCTTAATTCAAATTCATGAGCATCTCCATTCACTGTTTCCTCTCTTACTGATAAATACCATTCATACCTTTACATATATGTTCCAGCTAATCTCCATAAATATTTCATCACTATTGCTTTTTTTGCCTTCTGAATAGCGTTCAGATTTATTTACTTCTCTCTATTCTCAATGCTAACATTTTAATATAAATTATTACTTTTCCCTCCTTATTGGTCTCCTGTCCTTCTTTCCAATCAGTTCTCCAAACTGCAGTGTTATTTTTTCAGAACATAAATTTGATTATGTCATATCCCACTACACAAGCCTAAAATCTCAATACGGGGCAAAGATAAATACAATGCCAGCCTCATATATCACTTTAAGAGTTCTGGTAGTCATATTAAGATAGTAAAAAGCAGGTAAAATTACTTTACAATATTTTAACTTAATCCAATATTGCCAACATATTATTTTAACATGCAATGAACATAAGAAAAAATAAAGTAAATCTTTAAAATCTGATACAAATTTTACACGTATTCAGACAAGCCATATATCAAGTGCTCAGGAGCCCCAAGTAGCTAATAGCTGGGAAGTGAAACTCCAATAACATCTGATAGCTGTTACTCTAAAAACCATTAAAAAGACACAGTCCTGGTTTGGCTTGGCACCAGTATAGTGTCTGAGGCCTAGGACGGTGGCTTTCTTCTCGGTTCCCAATCCCCGTTCCCTCCTCGACCTGGAATTCATCACTTCTGTAAGGATGTGTCTAAGAAATAGGAGCCTTTGTCCTATTTCCCAGAGTTTTCCAGCTTCATCTCCTCCCGATCCCCAAATTCCCACGTTTTCTTACCCAGTCGGGCCACAGGCCACCCCGAAATCACCCGACAAAAATGAAGTCAATCCGTCAATGTTTACTTCCTGCCTTTCAGTTCTCTCCCCGCAGCCACTGCGGTAGTTTCCGGGCGAGCGACACATGCGCACTAACATGGAGGCGGCCGGAGCGAGGGACGGGGGAGTCCTAGGCTCCCACGCGATGTTGTTATCGCGAGATCTCGAGTGCGTCTTTATTTACCTCGGGAAAGAGGAGGTTAGTTTGAGTAGATGCTTTTGTGTTCCCAGAGTTTGTACTGTTGTTTCTTTTAGACTCGGAGAGCCTTAGGATGTGTTTTTTGTTGTTTTTTGTTTGTATTTTTGAAGTACCGAGAACGGACAACAGCTTAAGGCTCTCTACGGAACTATGAAATGAACGGGGAACCTCGTGACATATTAATTAAAAAAAAAAAAAAACAGTTAAAACTAGCGTTAATTAGGCAGATACTGTGTAACACTTTCAGACGTGGTGAGCAAAAAGAGTATTTCTTCGAAATTTCATCATACAGAGTGAAACACTAAAATGATTATTCAAGTAATTTCGTTTTAAAAAGTCTGTGAAAGGAATACCAGATGCTATGAGAACGTCAGGCACTATTTGGTAATTGTGACATTCTGCACCGAAGTGATCTCGCGTTTTATCATTGGAAAAGAAATAGTACAAAACAATTTCTATTTTGGGAAAACAATAGTATCTATGACATCCCAAGCCTCCTTTGAAAGTACATGTGTGGGGACACTTGGGTGGTCAGTTGATTAAGCTCTGCTTTTAGGTCGGTCATCATCCCACTTCCTGAGATCGAGTCCCCACTGGGCTCCTTGCTCAGTGTGGAGCCTGCTTCTCCCTCTGCCTGCCACTCCTCTTGCTTGTGCCTGTGCCCGTTGTCTCTCTCTCTCTGACAAATAAATAAAAATAAAGCACAGGTATGGGGGCGCCTGGGTGGCTCATTAAGTTAAGCGTCTGCCTTCTGCTCAGATGATGATCCCAGAGTCTTGGGATCAAGCCCAGTCTGGTATGGGGCTCGCTGCTTAGCAAGAAGTCTGCTTCTCCCTCTCCCTCTGCCCCCGCCCCGCCCCCCCGCCCCCCCGCCCCCCCGCCATGCTCATTCTTTCTGTCTCTCAACAATAAATAAAATCTTTATTAAAAAGTTCATGTAATAAGTAAGATAAAATACTGGAAAATAAGCAGTAATTTTCATAGAATTTCTTGTGTTTTTCTTCTTTGTGCTGTTGTCATTTAAAAATTTTTTTAAGATATCAGGTATCTTATTTATTTGTTGAGAAAGAGAGAGAGAGAGAGAGAGAGAGAGAGAGAGCAGGGGGAGGGCAGAGGGACAGGGAGAGAATCCTCAAGCAGACTTCCCACTTGATTGCAGGGCTTGATCCTGGCACCTGGAAATCATGACCTGAGTTGAAATCAAGACTGTGTCGCTTAGCCGACTGAGCCACCCAGGCACCCCAACATGTATTGCTTTTAAGAGTAAAAGCAAGGGTCCCCTGGGTGGCTCAGTCAATTAAGTGTCTGCCTTCCCCTTCTGGAGTCCTGGAATGGAGCCCCATGTCAGGTTCCCTGCTCAGTGGGGAGTCAGATTCTCCCCATTCCTCTGCTCCTCCTCTCTCTGCCAACATGCTCTCTCTGCTATCATGCTCTCTCTCTCACTCTCTCAAGTAAATATATATTTTAAAAAAGTGAAAATAGCTCACATACTTGCCTCAATAAAAGCCTCTCATAATACAATATATGTTTTTTCTTATTAAAAATTTGCAGTGCCTAGAGCTCAGGAATGTAAATAACTAATTTTGATATTTACAGGGCAATAGGTGAAGGAACAGAGTCAGAGAATAGTTTGAAAGTGAGTAGTCTCTGAATCACCCACACTTTGTTTTCATCTCTTTAAACAATTTCTGAAATATGCTGGAAGTGCTGAGGCCTGTTTTAAAACCACCAGGCATGGGCGCCTGGGTGGCTCAGTGGGTTAAAGCCTCTGCCTTCAGCTCAGGTCATGATCCCAGGGCCCTGAGCCCACATTGGGCTCTCTGCTCAGCAGGGAACCTGCTTCCCTTCCTCTCTCTCTGCCTGCCTCTCTGCCTACTTGTGATCTCTGTCTTTCAAATAAATAAATAAAATAAAATAAATTCTATTAAAAAAAAACCCACCAGGCGTAAGTCAGGGAACACATCTCACAGAAGAATCATATAATGTACTGGAAGAGAAGGAAATAGATTTGTAAGGCTGGGGTCCCCCATGGAGGATTCGGAGGAGAGCATAGGGAAGCAAGGGGTGAGTTTTAGATGGGTTGCTGTTTGTAAATCAGGATTAGAATAAACTGGGATTAATTAGCATCTAGGTGTTATGATAAGTGGAGGGTGGTTACTAACTGGGTAATCTAGTAATAGTAGAGAGTAGTAAAGTGGGTCTGGGGCATCATTGGTGACAAAACAACAATCACTCAAAGAGGAGGTGGTTAAAGCATTTTTCAGTTTCTGTATGACCTTGGGAGACACAGTGCTTACTGTTGTAAAGGGAAGACTTAACTGGGGGAGATACAAATCTTGCACCCAAAGACCTTAGGATATAGAGACTCCTCACTTCGGAGCTATAGGTGCTGTACAGATATGGTTTCAAAGTGAACACTTTCATGTGCTGATGATGCAATATAGAGTTGAAATATTTAGAGGGAGATACAGAGAGAAAGCAAGGAGAGGAGTGGGAATAAAAGGAAAAGGACAGGGAAGGGGCAATAAAGGTGTGCATGGTTTTTTTTGTCTTTTTTGCCCTCTTGAGTTAGGATCTTTTCTTCTTGATGCCTAGCCCAGTGTCTAGCATTTAAACGTTAGTCAATAAATATGTATTGAATGAATTACTCATTCAACCAATTTTGGTTCTGAAATACCAGGGAAGAAAGGCAAATGAACTAACATATATTGGGAACTGCGTCTATGCCAGGTGTGGTGCTAAATCTTTTGTGAAATAATGTAGGCTCAACTGCTCTCTCTCAGCTTCCCTACAAGTTAGAATGTATCTAGTGACCTGTGGGGAGTAGGGATGGATGATACAGATCAGTTTTGGTCTTTTGATTTTATTCCTTTACCTTGTATTTGTTTAATCTATTTCCATTTACTACAGAAATAGAAAAAGGTCATTAACTTTTTCAAGCATTATTTCTCCCCCTATCTTGGAAATTGGAATTCCTTATCTATAATTTTATTATTCCCCAGATCTTTTCCTCGCCTTTGTGCACTCCGCCACCGGGCCCTTCCAGGCAGCTGTGATTTATGTATTGTTAAGATACAGAGGTTTAAAATAAAGTTAAGAGGTTTAAAATAAGTCCCATTAAATGACCTAGAGGCAAAGGTGTCAGCAGGTTCGGTCTTTTTCTTCCCAGCAAGCAAACTACAAACTTCCCGGGAAAGCTTTCCCGGCGGTCCGCGGGAGGCTGGGTTTTCGCCCCCCATGGGTTCTTCCCATTGGTTCTTCCTGGGAGCCTCCGCCCCACCCACGGTCCCGCCTCCTTGGAAGATGAACCAATAGGAGCGTGAGTTGTGTTTTAAACTCGGAGTCCTGGGAACTCTCTGGAGGCCGAGTCTCGGATGAGTTTGGCTGTTGGTCCCGACGTGGGTGGACCGTGGGTTAGTGACTGGCTGGGCGCGCGGGTCCCGCGAGGAGGAAGGTGGGCTGGGGGCTGGAAGCCGGAGGGCCTGGAGGTCGGGGTCTGGGGCTTCCCGGGGTCGTCTGCGTCGCCAAGCCGGGCTGAGCCACGTCCTCGTTCTGCGTGGGCAGTCCTCCATGTGATGAGTACCAGGACCTGTGCCAGCCCCAAACCGCCGAGTCTTCTGGAACTTAGAGCCTCCGGTGCAGGTTTCAAGAGTTAAGAGCTGGATTAAATGCCTCTTGGCTCAGGAACAGGCTAAGCTCGCTCCTTAGCTCTAGTTTTTGCGTGGACGTGCTCAGGGTAGAAAGTTTGGTCAGTGCTACACCTTCGCTTCTGTCTTCTTCCATAACCCCCGGGGTCTAATGTATGTTTCACACCCGCAGCTGGTCCAGAATGGCTACCCTGATCTTTGTTGATAAGGAAAATGGAGAACCAGGCACCCGTGTGGCTCCCAAGGACGGGCTGAAGCTGGGGTCGAGGCCTCGTAAGTAAACGGACTGCAACCCGAGTCTGGTATTGTCAATCAATTGTGGGCGTGTCCCGGAGCTGGGGAAGCATTCTGTGTACTTGACAGCTTGAGTTAGGTATTACCGAATACCACTATTGCAACGTGCTCCTGGGTCTCTTTTTCATGTTCAGTACCTCAGATAATTAAGGGGGTGCAGAACCGAAGTACTGTTAGGCCTATGGCCATGCCACCAACAAAAGTGGAGGTTGAGTTTGGGGATGAGAATGAGGCCAGGTTGATTTATACAGTCAGCCTTCAAGCTGCACCCGTGTTTATTGCCTGAATAATCTTATGGTAAGCCTTTTTCCTCAGCAGTCAAAGCTTTAGATGGAAGATCTCAGGTTTCAACACCACGGGTAGGCAAAATGTTTGATGCTCAAGCAGCCGTACCTAGAGTTGCCAGAAAGGCTTTGGGAACTGTCAACAGAGCCACAGAAAATTCAGTAAAGACTAGTGGACCTCTCAAACAGAAGCAGCCAACCTTCTCTGCCAAAAAGGTAAGTGTTGGCTACAAAGTCACTGTTGAAACACTTTAGCGCTTTTGACTCTTCAAGTGACTATAGGCATCCTACCTTGCTTTCTCTCTTGTGAATGCAAGGAAATGTAGGCTACCTAATATAGATTAACAGGAGGGAAGCATGGGAAGCTTATTCTCTTTGTGGTCTTCCTCTGTGCCGCAAGATCAGAAGTCTCAGAAGCAGCTGGTGAATATTTCTGCCTCACCTGTTCTTAACTAGTATGGAGAAGATTGATTGATAGTATCTATGTATGGTCACAGAAAGGACTGAGAGGGAAGGTTCTTTGCCGGAGGTCATGGAGCTAATAGAATAGCTTAGGAGTTACCATCCTCCTCCCAAAGGCCTCCTGGAGGAAGTACCAGGTACTCTGCTAGCATGTTGACCTTAGTGTGTGTGCACGAGCTAACAGTCTGTGCATCCCAGACTGAGGAGACTTTGCTGTGAAAGATGACTCAGCACATAGATTTACGCTTCATTTGCTAAAATAAATGGTTTTATTATGTATTAGGAAAAAAAACCCCCTAGTACTTTATATTAAAATAAGACTTGAGGTGTGGTTTAGAACAAGATATCTTTTAAAAAAACTAAGTTGAGTAAGAGAAATGTTCAGTTCAAGTATTGGAAGGCTATGGCAACAATAATGAGAATGTGACACAGAACTGAAGTGTGGGAAACCCTGCTTTAAGGATTTCTGTAGGTATGCACATATGACATAAGGTTGGATCAGGAATGTGCAGGCTTCTGCTTTGGCCTACTATAGTATACTGCCTATCTGCCAATTTTAGATTAGGGAATTATCCAGGTTCTAAACTGCTTAACTGTCTTTTGCTGAATCTTACTCAGTGTGTGTATTTCAACTTAATATTAACCAAGCAAATAATTAAGGGAGCACTGATGGAGAAACATAGATGGAAATCACACTTCCAAAACCCACAAATGACTTCTAGGATTAGCTTCTGTGTGAGTGAGTCATGCTGTTTTCTGGGACAGGTTGAGTGACTGAGTTGATTAGCTCTGAATTAACTCTGCCTTCTTGGTGACTTATGCTGAGAGGTGTGGGTACTTAAATTTCAGACTTAACTCTTGAGCCATGCCACTAGAATTGCTGGCAGAATTGTATTGGTATGTAATTATGAGAACTAAGGATTATGGTTTTTTTAGAAGTCAGCATGAGATTGAAAAACTGGTGAAGCAGTCACATGTCTTGAAGAAGACTAAAGATCTTTTGTCCTAATCAGTTGACAAGGCTTGCCTTTCACTAATTCATATTTTCTTGGATGGTTTTAGGTGACCGAGAAGACTGTCAAAGCAAAAAGCTCTGTTCCTGCCTCTGATGACACCTACCCAGAAATAGAAAAATTCTTTCCCTTCAATCCTTTAGGTAGTATTCTTTTGGTATTATAAAAATGCTTTAGTTTTGAGTTTCTCTTAGAATCTGATTCAGCTCTAATCTGATATGGATATAATGTGAACTGTGACCCAAAACTGTAATAAGACAGTCTAAATCTGGGTTTCTTTCCACAAACATACTTGTTGGCAGATTTATTTGTAAGGAACATCTTAGGTCAGAAGGGGAATTGGTACAAAGATGTGGAGAACATTGTTCCTGACCTCAAAAACATAAGGGAGATAAGATGTGTTCACTAACATTGAACAAGTCTAAATGGGACTTTTTTTTGGCAAGCCTTTTAGAAAGTGAGTTTTATGTTAAGTTGAACAGTGAGAAAAATCCACATAGTCCGTGATAGCGTGTGCATTTTTACTCCGTCAGCCTGCTAATGTATCCGAAGTATTTTCTGTTATAGAAGCACCTTTTCAAGCTTTAATCTACTCCCACTGGAGGAGAGGCTACTGTATCCAGGCTTTGGATGCAGTGTTTAACAAGACAGGCCCACGCTGATGGAGCCCATCATTTGGAGGGAAAGTCAAACACGAACAAATTCTCTCACTGTAAGTGAGAAGGAGAAACCAGCCCATTAGGGGGAACTGAACCTCACCTGGAAGAGCAGGGAGGCTTTCTCTCAGGAAGTGCCATGATGTGGCCTTTTAAAAGGTAACAGGGGAGAGCTAGGTGAAGCAGGGAGGGGCCAGGCAAGAGCACCACACCAATGTGTGTGCAGAGATCCTGAGGTGGAGCAAAGGACTGGAGTGGTTCTGAGACAGAGGCAGAGGGAAAGACGACAGAGGTGAGACTGTGGGCAGGTCCTGCAGTGCCTTCTAGGTTTCTGAGCTGGCATTTTTGCCCTTTCATCCAAAGGGCAGTTAGTCATTCTGTACATCCAGATTGTCTCTGGCTTTATATAATGCATTTTATATAATACAATTCTGCAGTTTTCTTGAAATTGTATTGTGAGTTTGTCAGGATAGCTGAGTCTCAGAGGGTATGTGATTAAGATTTGATAAAATGGAGTGCTTCCATGCTAATGATTACCATTCAGCCATTAAGGAAAATGAGGTAGATTTATGCATCTTGATCAGGAAGGAGGACTTCCATATGCTGTTTGAGGAAAGCGATACGGTGAAGTTGTCCTCCAAAATAGCATAAATTACTGAATTCATGTACAGTGGCTGAGGATGCCTGCTTCTCTAATCTCTAACAGCAGATGTTTTAAACCTCTTATCAAAAGGGCAATGGGTATCTTATTGTTTTAAATTGGGGAGCATGTATGTGTGGTGAGCATACTTGATTATTGACCTCCAAAATTTTTTTTTTTTTTTTTTAAAGATTTTATTTATTTGTCACAGAGAGAGAGAGACAGAGTGCGAGAGCGAGCACAGGCAGAGTGGCAGGCAGAGACAGAGAGAGAAGCAGGCTCTCTGCTGAGCAAGGAGCCCGATGTGGGACTCGATCCTAGGACGCTGGGATCATGACCTGAGCTGAAGGCAACGGCTTAACCAACTGAGCCACCCAGGCGTCCCCTATAGTTTGTTTTTTAATTTCCTATTGGTATCTTTGTTTTCCTTTGATAATAGGTCTTCCTTTCCTTTTTCCTTTTCTGTAACAGCTTTTGTGGATAAAGGAAATTAACCCTAATATGTTGCAGACTTTTTCCCTCTGGAGTCTTTTGTCTGTTTATGGTTTCCTTTATAATTCAGTGTTTTTTGTTTTTTTAAAGATTTTATTTATTTGTGAGACACCGAGCACAAGCAGGGGGAGGGGGCAGAAGAAGAGGGAGAACCGGACTCTCTGCTGAGCAGGGACCCCGAAGTGGGGCTTGATTCTGGGACTCTGGGATCCTGACCTGAGTCAAAGGCAGAGGCTTCACCAACTGAGCTGCTTTAGTACCCCATATAATTAACTGGTTTTAAATTAAATAGTTCCATATCACTCAATTCCTTAACTTCTGGGTTTTAGTCAGTCTTTAAAAGAGCAGGCTAATTCCTAGTATTTAGGCTTTAAAGAACTTTCACACTTCAGAAAACGATGGTTCTCTTTCCGTCTTTGTTCTTTTGAGGAAATGCTAAACCCCTCAAAAAGAGGGAAGAATATTTAAATTCTATTTCTGTTACTGTCAAGAAAAATATGCTGTATTCTTTTTTTAATTAAAATTTTTTTTTGAAGTAATCTCTCAGCCCAGTATAGGGCTCGAACTCAAGACCCTGAGGTCAAGAATATCATGCTTTACCAACTGAGGCAGGTGCCCCCCCCCCCCAAATCTACTTTAATCCTAAGAAGTAAGGCACTTGGATTATAAGAAGGAGTGTGATTTAACCCAATAGTTCTTATTTTTGTTGTGGGATTTTCACAACTCTTAAAAGCTAATGAAGACTCCAGAGAACCTTTGTGTGTCTTTTATCAATTTTGATGCCTAATGCAGGATATTTAAATAAAAAAATGAATTCCTTAAAAAAACAACCCATTACATTAATGTAAGTAACTTTTTTCTAAGACCTAAAAATAACTTTTTTAAAACGGAAGAATTGTGTAGTTTTATATTTTTGAAAACTTGCTTAATTTGGTTTAGCATAAAGCACTGGGTTGTCCTCTGATTCTGCATTCAATCTATTGTATCTCTTGTTTTGGTTGAAGTACATGAAAAAAATCTGGCCTCATACAGATACACAGTTAAGAAAGGGAAGAGCAGGGGCACCTGGGTGGCTTAGTGGGTTAAGCCTCTGCCTTCCGGCTCAGGTCGTGATCTCAGGGTCCTGAGTTGGAGCCCCTCATAGGGCTCTCTGCTCAGCGGGGAGCCTGCTTCCTCCTCCCTCTCTCTCTGCCTGCCTCTCTGCCTACTTGTAATCTTTCTCTCTCTGTCAAATAAGTAAAATCTTAAAAAAAAAAAAAAAAAAGGAAGAGCATTTCAATAGTCTTTTCAAATAAGTGTGGAGTTTTCTTTCCTACCAGACTAAAACCCAACAAGTGGCAGTTTCCAAATGTAGCATTGCAATGTGTAATCTGAAACCTTATCAGTGAACATTTTGTACTCTGACAATAAGTGCTAAAATACATTGGGCTGTTCTGTACTTTGAATATCTTTTATTTTTGCATTTATCACACATTGATCATTTAGAAATAATGATTCACTGGGAACTGTAGCTCATCCAAATGTTGAAGTGTGTCATTATGCAGTATCAAACACACATTCATTAATGCCACCACGGATCTCATCAGAAAAGTGTATTAGGAAGTTGGCAAGCTAATGAGTGCAGATAAGTTTTCCAGAATTCTAGTTTTATTTTTTTTTCTTGGAATTGTGATCATTGGCAACGAATATCGTGTTTCTTGAAGTGATAGAACTTCTTTCATTCCTCTCAGAAAATGTGCTACAAATACCCAAGTCTGAGTAACCAGTTTGTCTTTCCATTGTTATTTCAACTAAATAGTGTTCCAGGAAAAAGGCCTCTAGTTTAGCTTGCAAACTGAATAATCATGCAAATCTTGTTTTCTTTGAGCTTACCTGGTACTTTGGTATGCAGCAGAAGTGCTTTATGGTGTACTTATTTCATCATACAGAATACTAAAAAGACAACTGTTCTTCAGGTTGAGAGCTAATAAAATTAATACTTCTTACTGCAGATGGTAAAGTGAGATGTGAAGCTGGCAATTTTTTACTACAAGTGAATGGTATTGAGGAGTAGTGACTATAAAATATAGTTTATTGCCACTGCCTTGATTTGTGCCAAGGCACAGCAGTTCCATCCATCATTGCTTTTGTACCATTGCTGCAAATGTCAACACAGCAGAAGGTGTTAATGTTATTAAGCACAGAGTTTGACCTCATTGTTCCACTGAAAGTGTCTCAGACCCCCAAGGGGCTCCTGACCACTCTGAGAACCACTGTCTTGATAAAGTGCTTTGTCTTTGTGGCAGATTTTGAGAGTTTCGACCTGCCTGAAGAACACCAGATTGCACACCTCCCCTTGAATGGAGTGCCTCTCATGATCCTTGATGAGGAGAGAGAGCTTGAAAAGCTGTTACACCTGGGCCCCCCTTCACCTCTGAAGATACCCTCTCCACCATGGGAGTCTAGTAAGTGAGCAAGTGCTCTTCTAGAAGGGCTGCGGATTATTTGTGTCATAATGCTTCCATTACTGTGGGGGCAGAATTGTGTAGAAGATTAGCCTATAAGTAATTTCTGTTTCAAACTTCAGAGATAAAATTTCAGAATAATGAAAACTGCTTTCAGTTGGTATTGTTTTCAGTCCCAAATGCCCAGGTCAAATTAAGTCCTTCTGGAATCTGGACAGTTTAGATGCAGAAAATAAGAGTAAATTTAGGATACAGCTTCATAGCTTATAGCTTGAAGTGTAATAAACTTGTGTGGAATGAGAATTCCAAGTTCTATCCAAAGCTAATCTAGGATCAAGACACTTGAGCACAATAGCACAGAACGGCAAAATCTTACTACAAAGGTGGGAGGCCTCTGTATTTTTTCTATTTGTTCTGATGGGATAGCGTATACTATTTTATAAATTACCATAGTGATATTGTTGGCTCTTGCTTGGGTCTCTCAGAGCAATGGAGTTTCAGGTATGTCTAAGATTTATTTCCTAATGAAGTTTAATTCTGGGGTTTTAGCCACATTTCAAGAATTGTGTGTGTGTGTGTGTGTCTAGCTGGGGTGGGGCTAGGGATTCATTAGACAAAGGGGAAAATAAGAATTTGTGAGTAAAATTGACAACCAATGTCTGTTGAGATGGACTAAAGCATTTGCAGATATTGAATAAGAAATTCCTGTTTTCTAGATCTGTTGCAGTCTCCAAGCATTCTGTCGACCCTGGATGTTGAATTACCACCTGTTTGCTATGACTTAGATATTTAAATTAGCATTTAATAGTTTGTATGTTTTGTATTAATAAAGCAACTCTTTAACAGACTCTTCCTAATCTCGCAGTTGGTATTCTTTGGAATTTGCTTAAAACGGTATGGAAATTATTGGAAGTGTTTGACAAGGAACTATAATCTGACAACAGAAGTATATCTCATTTGAAAACTTACCTTAAAACCCTTCGGTTTGTTTTAACAGCTTATTTTAGACACTACCACTGTTCTCCCTGAAACATACCCCTCAATGTGTACTGTACTGCCTTTCTGTGGCCATTAACTAGTGACAGTTATTAGATCTCTTAATTAGAAGAGCCACTTCTAGCTCATTAAATATCTATTGCAAAGCATTCTTTATTGCTGGTTCTATTTGGTTTCTAATGACTTTAACACTATTTGGTAATCAGAATTTGCAAGGCTCTAAATCTTCTGAGAACTCTTCCTCCCTGGGATCTTCAATTAGGTTCTTTCAAGAGCGCAACAGATAATTTACGGTTAGTAATAACCACTCTTCACCTATAGGAAACTCTGTTTAGTTGCTTACACTGTTTTGGGACCTCTTTTAAGTATTTAATAAGCATTATTGTGTTTCAAGTTTATGACCCTATTTTTCAGATGAGAACTGTGAAGTGCAGAAACTCATTGATATGCCAGAGACAGGAAGAGCTATCACTTTGACTCCCAAGTTGGAGATTGGGATCAAAATATCAGAGATTATAAATGGTTGCTCATGGATTTTCTTTTTTGAAGGGCTGGGATGGAGGATATTAAAAAAAAAAAAAAATTGTGGCCACCATTTAAAATTCCAATGTATCACATACCTTCGGTTTTGGAGCTGCTCTTGGTAAAGGGGATCTGGCAATAGTTGGCCCTTGTTTCGAATACTTGGACCGGCAGTGGAATGCTCGCTGCCTTTTAGGTGGGCTTTCTGTGCTATAGACCCTAAATGGAATAGCCCAAAGGGACAACTGAAGTGTCCTTCTACTGTCTCTTTTTGCTCCAGCTCCCTTCACTCCCTTTACTTGCCTGGGCCATGGAGTCCAACTGAATTGATCCTTACTTAATACCAGCCTATGTAGGAAGCTTCTCTCCTGTAAGGTCTGTAGCATCTGTAGTCAGAATCTGAACCCTTTTCCATCGTTACCGCGATTGGTATTCTATAGATTTGCTGGAAACTGAAAGCTAGCAGAAGTGTTTAACAGACTAGGGTCTGTAATCTGACAATCGCTTATCTTATTGAAAAACTTAGGGGCGCCTGTGTGGCTCAGTGAGTTAACTCTCTGCCTTCAGCTCAAGTCATGATCTCAGGATCGTGGGATCAAGCCCCCCATCGGGCTCTCTGTTCAACAGGGAGCCTGCTCTCTCCCCCTCCGTCTCTGCCTGCTTCTCTGCCTACTTGTGATCTCTCCCTGTTAAATAAATAAATAAAATCTTAAAAAAAAAAGAAAAGAAAAACTTAAAACGCTTTGGTTTATTTTAATGTTTTATTTTATTTATTTTGAGAGAGAGAGAGAGAGAGAGTGTGTGTGTGTGTGTGCAAGAGAGAGTGTGAGTGGGGAAGGGCAGAAGGAGAGGGAAAGAGAGAATCTTAAGCATGTTCCATGCCCAGCGCTGAGCCCGATGCAGCCTGATCTCATGACTCTGACCTGAAATCAAGAGTTGGACGCTTAACCGACTTAGCTACTCAGGTAACCCTTAATGGTTTATTTTAGAAGCTGCCACTTATCCCTGAAACCTAAACCCCTCAATGTTTACTTTTATTGCCTTCATTGTTGAGAAGCAAACAAGGAAGTGGCAAGATAGGCATGAAATACTAGGAACACATACACTGATCTCGATCTTAAAAAATTTTTATCTTCAAAATATAACTGAATCAGTCTGAACTTCTGTAATTAGTGGACTCCTAAAAGAGAAAATAAGACTATTAGGACACTTGGTTTTAAGGAAGAGTATTAGATCTGCCATCCTCAGATATAGAAGGGCCCTGTGAAAATAAAGTGTGATTGTGAGTGGTTTTCATACTCTGTGATAAATTTAGAAGCTTTGGAAAGGGGTCTCTTGTGGTAGAAGGAACAAAGGACTGAGAGCCTGGCAGCTAGTTAGTCCTTTTCCAGCTAGTTAACTGCCCTTGGTGATCTCTCTTCATCTGCTATTAATCCAAATACAAAGTGTTTGGGGTGTCTGGGTGGCTCAGTCTGTCCGACTTGATTTCCACTTTGGATTTGGGCTCAGGTCATGATCCAGGGTGTTTGGGATCTAGCCCCACGTCAGGTTCCACACTTAGCTCAGAGTCTACTTGTCCCTCTCCCTCCCCCTCTATTTCTCTCCCCTTGTTCTCCCAGGTGTGGACTCTCACGCTCTCTCAAGTAAAATCTTAAAAGTGACTAATGTTGGTCATGGCTTTGAGAACTTTAGACAGAAGCTTCTCCATTAATATAGGTAATTTTTATTCTGTGGGGATTGCTGCTATTTGTATACATTTTACTAAGTATCACGTGTTTGGCTTCATTACTTAAAGCTTACAAGAAGTCCTATTTGCAATTCTAGTCTGTCCAAGGGATAATTCTCTTAAGTTGATTGTTTTTGGGGTAGGCAGTTCCACCGCACTGGACCATAAGGGTGCTCTGATATATGAAAAGTCCACCCATACCTAGCGTACGCCTCCATTGACATTTTTCGGGCTTCGAATTCTGATGAACCCTCAATAGGAACATGAAGCTTTTTAAATATGTTAATGTAAATATTCTGTCAGACCAATTCTGAGCAATGGTACCAAGCCACAGGAGGGTCGGTACAACCATTAAAATTCCCAAGTTGACTTTGTTTTTTCCATTAGTTTAACCAATCATGTACACAGGCCTCTCTGTACTAGGGACCAGGGCTGTGATGGTTAAGTGACACATTGTCCCTGCTTTCGGGCCTGTTATCCAGTGGGGTACGCTGCAGGAAATGCTGTCAGGATACAGGAAAATGAATTCAGGGGTGGGAAGAACCAGCTGCTGGGGAAGCACTTTCCAGCCCAGTTTAGGGAAGGGCAGAGGAGGCTTCCTGAGGAGAAACCATGGATGGACACTTGAAGGAAGAAAAGTGCTCTGGCCTGAGGAAACAGCTTCTGCAAATGCCAGGAGGCAAGAGAACACAACTTGTCGAATGTTGAATGAAAACAAACTTCCCCATCCCCACTCCCGCCTTTATTTTTATTTTTTTTCCTTTTTCTCCTTCAGGTTTGGGCAAGGTCTGTGGTTGGTAACAAGGAGTCTGGAGAGTTAAGCAGGGGCCACATGGCTTTGTAAACTCTGGCAAGGGGCTTAGCATCTGTCTTAGGGATGGGATGTTAGGGGCCATGGAAAGGTTTTAAGGAGGGGAGTGACAGGGTGAGGTTTGTATTTCAGAACCTCACTGTGGAGGCAGGGAGACTGCTCTGGAGTCTACCATAGCTGATGTTGATGAAATGACTTGAAGAGGTGACCATGGAGAATGGAATAAGGCTTCAGGAGGGATCCAGGAGTTGGACTTGGCAGGGCGGCAAATGGTGTGGAGATAGCACTGGGAAGAGTCAGTGATGCCTGGGAGCATCCCTTACAGGGGGGTTCCCCAATTATGTTTACAAATGTGTTTTTTGCTGCATAGTTTGTAATTGGAAAATATGATACAGATACATACTGGAATTAAATATATTTATTAAAAGGGAGCTAGGGTGCTTGGGTGGCTCAGTTGGTTAAGCGACTGACTCTTGATTTTGGCTCAGGTCATGATCTCAGGGTCATGAGATCAAGCCCTATGTCAGGCTCCGTGCTCAGCACAAAGTTAACTTGAGATGCTCCTCTCCCTCTAGGCCTCCCCACCACTTGCTTGTTCTCTCTCTCTCTCTGAAATAAATCTTTTTTTTTTAAAAGGCATCTATATATGTGGCCAAGGAAAGATAACCATGGGACTTTTTCATTGTCAAAAGTGGGTTACAGAACAGGATCTAGGATCACTTTTATTTAAATACACATATTATGAGACAGGAAAGCATAGTGACAAGAAGTGAAAAATGAGATTGTGGCTCAGCAACATAGTTCCTCTGTGACCTTGGGCATATCATTTAACCTCTCTGAACTTCTGTTTTTTTATTCATGAGATCCTTGATAGAGTTTATCGTGAAAGGTTGTCAGGAAGAGTACGAGAGCTACTGCATGAACGCAAAACCAGCTTGACTTGTAGTAAGCCTTTTAGTTTCAATTATGATTAGGTTATTTGTGAGTATAAAAATATCTATAAAACCATACATTCATGCCTTACTGAGGTTATCTTGTGTGTGCATATGGGAGACCAGCTTAAACTTATAAAAACTTATATATTAATAGGATTACACCATTTAAAGAAAGAGAAAATACTCCCTCTGGAGGCTGGAGAGATTGTCTGAGGTCATACCTTTTTTTTTTTTTTTTTTTAAAGATTTTATTTATAAGAAGAGCAAGGAGGGGGAGGAGCAGAGCGAGAGCGAGAAGCAGACTCCCTGCTCAGCAGGGAGCCCAACATGGGGCTTAATCCTGTGGAGGCCAAGAAAAACAAGGCTGTACCCACCTCGAGTCTAGCCCTAACATCGCCCTCCCCTCCATAAAACTGAAGGAGGCTGAGGCTGAGGCAGAAGAAAATGGAAACTAAATGTTAAATGTTAAACCTAAATCTCACTAACAAGAACACTTGATAGGAGAAATGTGACATTCTACCAGGAAACTCCCAATTGTCATGTTAGTGCCTCCTCAGAGGGAGAAATGGCCTTGATTTGATAATAACCGGGCCTCCAATATCCTGACAGTCTTTTTTACCCTGATAGCCCTTCTGAACATCCCCTTTGTCCTCACCTACTGCTGAGCCAGCAGTTGTGGCCCAAATATCTACTGCCAAGTCCACCCCAACTCTGTCTTTAAAAACTCTGACTGTAATCCAGTTCAGGGTCCAAGTCCCTACTCTGCTGTGTCGGGTATACTTGGGCCCAAGCTTAAGCATGTC